CTTCCTTCTCTACATTTCCGAACTACCCTTAAGGGTCATCCCTATTGTGAAATCCTTGCTCTTTTTTGGCCATTTTAACTCATTGTATATGGACGTTGCTCTCTCATTTTTTTTATTGTGACCGTATCCTTCTGTACGTAATTTACATCAGGCGTCGGATAATAAAATATAATATAGAAGAATGTAGTGAAAAGGCTTTATAGAATCACGAGTACTAAATTAGGTTGCGATAAGGCAGAGAAGTTTCTATGCACAAAAGCTTGTTAGTGTATGCGCCGGAGCGCAATGATGGAGAATGGGAATTAAAAAAACGAATCAGAATTTGCTACATTACATAGGTGCTACGCTCTGATGTGGCGTTGATTCGAACTTGGTCTGGGCAAAGTATTTTTTGCTGATGTAAATCAAACACTCATGTAGGCGCGGGCTTAACAAGGCGGTCGTTGGAGAACTTTTCTTCGGTTTCTAGGTTGTGTGACTGCGATTTCGTTGTCTTCGGAGGACCGATAGACTTTGTCGTGACATATTCCGGGCGCGGACAAGCATACTCAATGATAGTCGCCCAGGTGGGCTTGCTTGGTATAGGTTACGATGCAACAAAGGTTTTCCTGAGTCATGGAAAGCTAGATAACGATCGATCTACTGAGGTATGATGCTCTTGTACAAGTTTAAAGATGTGGCGCTGAATTAAAGCGAGTGAGAGGCTCGCTAGCATACATTTTCATCTCGGCGACTACCCTGTGAAGAAATTGAATCACCAAGAGTTGTTTCTACCCTAGGGGATGTGAAGATCAGCTTCTGGTTTATGTCAGGCCGTTGATTCGGCTTAGTATGAGAAGGCAATTTATGGCAGCTCCAATGGTAGGTTTAGGTCCCGCCGGTTATAGAGTCGAGTCGGAGTAAATTAGTTAAGGTAGGGATCATAAATATTCTTAATAGAGGTTAAGAATGGTGGAGAGGCATGTTGTATAAAAGATTGCTTTCGGTCTTTATCAAATATATTAATAAATCATGCCTGGAGGTCAAGTTTTAATATTTTTTTTCGCATCTTATCTTACGCTTTTCTCTTCCTTCACTTTCCTGCAATTGGAAAAATGGCTGATGGGGAATCTATTATTGTGTCTGTCGGAATTTTTATTCTTTTTTCAATTCCCATATAAACTTCTAGCCAAACAAGTATGAGGTTTTATTGACGTACTTTTATTCTACACCTGACTGCTTCATTTATCACTTATCTTTTAGACAAGCTACTATTGCACTTTTCCTCTGCAATATTT